CGTTTGCACACTTGTTGTGACACAGACTACTGTGGTTCGCATAGTATTGTGATTATGAAGGCCTCGTCGACGTTAGACGCGTGTTAAACGTGACACGAGAAGCCAGCCGTATTCGCAATGATCTCACTGTCGGTCTCGTATCTGCCGCGTCGATCGTAACAAATCGTCAGTCACTTTGCGTAACGTGCAATTTGCACTGTCGTTTGCATTTTTCATGAAGGACTTGCAACAATGATACATAGTGATTCGCGAGACCTTGAAAAAATTTATATAAAGAGAAATTGACGAAAGCGAAGGAAAGAATTTCTGCAGAAGGGTGATCAAAGAGAAACTTGCAGGTGGAGCGTCATGAGAAATCTCTTAGCCATGAATTACGTAATTCTAATAGCATAGATTATTGTATAATGGTAATTGTAAAATGGAGGTTTAATATAATTTATCTTATGAATATATATGCAATTATGGAAGAAACATGGTAGCATTTTTGTAAAATTAAGACATGTGTGAAGTATTTAAATATTATGTGGAAGACAAATTAATGAATTCAATATAATATTTTATTTTATGGAAATTCAGATTTTTAAAGTTACTTTTGCTGCTATCTAATAATACATTGATGAAAGGAAAATTTGGAGGAATATTGGGGTCTCATAACGATTTTTATTATGACATGCAATTCCTACCGCTTCGTTGAAAATGAATGGTACGTGTTACATGCATTAAATCCGAATTTTCATCCATGAAATCCGGATTCCGTATATCAATAATGTCAATATCGGTTGATGACTGTTAATATTTTTAAAGTTGTTGAATTATTAGTTAGGAAATGGTTTACGAGAAAAAATAGGAGTTATCTAAATTAGAATCTTATGTCACAAATATCATCAATATTCGCCTTGTCACTGTTATGAATCGGAAGTGCTAATTCGTTTGTTTGTTCACATCGATTGTTTCTTATTTTTTCATGTTTTGATAATTACTTTTAAAGAGATTTAGAAAGCGATTTAGTGATTAAATTACTCTTTCTAAGTTTCCGTTATTCTATCAATAATTTTATTAATGTCTTTTGTTCAATTACTTAAAATTTAATATATTATATGTAACTGTAGACTACAATAAATAATAGCATGTTTGTTTGAATATTGATCATTAATATAATACGTATAATGATACATTTAATTGTGACTTATTTCTCTTTATTTTATGTAACTTCAAACTATCATATTTTACAATATATATATTTTAAGAGGTTGGAAATATGAATAACATCTTGAGTCACTGGTTTCATTCAACAGTTCTCTCTTTATTCATAATTATGATTTTATATGTAACTTATTTTACAATTTAATTTATATCAAATGTTATATTAAAAGCAATCTAAATATAAAATGAAAAATAATAAAACATATTTATATCGGTAATCTTATAATTATTTATGTACGTTATTCGTAACAGCATGATAATTAATTATAATATTGTATAGATACTGTATGTTTAGTTCTTTCGAATTTTATGTCATTTATTTTGTTTTGTGTATTTTACTTTGCTTTGAAGATGCTTATTATATAAACATGCATTATATTTTCACTGTTGCATCATCAAATTTTCTATTACTTTATTATTTACCGATTTTTGATCATTAGAATATTATTAACATTATAAATTTTTCGCGAAATATGTAAAGTTTTTTTGTTTAGAACAACATTAATATACATATAATATGACAAGTAAACTCTTTAAACTTAAAATTTCAAGTTTAAACAACGCGTGCCGTAGAGAAATATTCTATCAAAATTCTTAAGTAATGAAATTTGTGAACATATCTTCAGTTTTGTAATTTTTACGGTTATTATCAATATTCTCTTTAAATAATTTTTCATTAATTTAAATTTTTTGGTACGATCTCCTCGTGTACTACACACGAATCGAACGTAATATTGTCTGTCGGCAATAATAATAATCCGACAGCAAAGAAGTACCTCTGTTTTACCGATTTTTAATTGAAATGCAATCAGTCTATAATCAGATGTGACCACAGGTAAGTCTGGTCTGAAGAAAGAAAGAGAAATATGACAGAAGGAATAAGGTAAGTGGTTAATTTTGATTATGTGAAGTATAAGGTAATGTACAAAATTGTTATTTATTTATTTATTTGATTTCCTCTATATTTTCCTTTTTTTCTCATATATGTACGAGATTGGAAAGATCCAATTTATATTCTAATCGCGCGCATATATTTGAAACTCTGATTCTTAGATTTATCGCTGGAGCAAATTTCAGATATTTTGCTGGATTAATTAAAAAATCGGTTTCCTTAGTAAATTGCATACCGTGCATATGCAATTTTAATTAAAGATTTTTTTATTGACTTGAAATATACGGGTAGATAGGTAAATGGATATGAAAAAATATGATAGGAAGGAATATAGACTGGAATACGAGTAGATATAGGGATTCGGTCAGGTAGGAATGTTAATAATTTGAGTTAAAAAATAAAGTTGAAAAGATTCTATTATAGATAAAATAATAATAACTTATATATAATGATTATAAGTACGCCGATATATTTATTATTATTATATTAAATATTAAATTATTTATTATTATATAAAATATAATAATAATATATAATTGCATTTGTTATTATATTTTTAATAATAATAACTTAAAAATTATATTATTAATTTTAAATTAATTCTTAGAGACAATGTAAAATATTACATATTTTTGTAAATGTTATGTATTGTATTTGTAATTTATGTAATAATCGTACGTATATTATTTATATAATATAATTGGAAATACTATGTATTGCAATTGTAATTTATGTAATAATAATTGTAAATAATGTTTATTATGTAATCGAATGCAATTAATAAGACAAAGATCGATGCGCATTTAATAAACGTTTGTTTTAGGTTTTAAAATTTTTTTGTTATCAAAAGATTGTTAATAAAAATTCGGGAAATACTTCATTTAAAATTCCGTATTAAAAGTTATAGTTTATGTGGCATGTATTGTAATAATTAATGAAGACAATGACGATATGTGTATACAGTTTTTAAATTAACATTAAGAAATTAACATTTATGTCTTAGATATCACGATGTCACAAGTAAATTTAATATATTTTTGCGAAGTTCCAAATTTTTATATTAGAACTTAAATTTAATTTAAAAAAGGATAAAATATTATTTAATTAAAAAAATTTTTAGTTTTTTGTTTCAGGCAAGAATTACGGGTTCCAAATTGCATGCCAATTTACAAACTTCGACATTGAAGCACAATATCAATTAATAAATAATTTTTTATTACAGTCATTATTTATTTATTAAAAAATTATTTTGTATTTTCCAAATGAACACCTAAATCACCTAAAGCTTTGGAAATATCCAGCTTTATGATTCGTTCATAAAAAATTCGCAAAGAAACAGCTTTTTATTGTTCTAAATCAGGTTTCCTTCTTTAGTGGCTGAATATAGAACGTTGATCTTCCATTCGTCGAAGCTAATACGTTCTACGAAAGTACCATTCACGTTTTTTTATTAATAAACAATTAATAAACAGTACACGTATGCATTGTATGAATTAGTTCGATAATTTTTAAATAGTTTATTTTACGTAATATAAAAGATATAAGCGAATAAAATTATCCATCCGTTTTGAAAGTATAGCGCAGTTTCTACTATATTCTTCTGTTACGAAAACTGTATATACGATTGTGACACACATCTTACAAAATTTTAACTACTGACGCATCAAAGCAGCGAATAAATATAAAATACGAACCAATAACTTTACTGACTCATAAATTCTCTCAGGAGAATAGGATACATTCGTATAAACAGAGTACAAATTGCGATTACTGTAATTAGGATGTATAGACTAAGCGCAATGTCCTGCAAAATACGATTGAAAAAATGCGTTCTCGTGTTTCTCTTACTGCTGCATTGTGACGTCTTACATTAAATTTTTACAGATCTGAGGATGTAATTAGAGATTAACGGATTCATTAGTTTTGCATTTTTTTCAGTTTAGAACTTAAAATAATCAAGAATTTATAAATCCAAAAATTCTGTAAGATTATTTAAATGCCATAGATGCAATTATCCGTAAATCCGAGACTTGATAAAGCTATATGTCCATAATTCTTGAGACCCGTACGTCTAAGAATGACTGACTAGATCAAAAGCACAGGAAAATAAAATGAATTTACAATTGTAATCACTATTCGACGCGCTAAATGCGCATAGTCTCGCGGAACATTTACAAATTTACGATTGAAAATAATTAATTTTTTTAAAGGACACTCTATATCCAAACGCTAAAAGCTACTTAATAGTCGATATATTTGTCATTCGTTATTAACACTTTGTGCTCAAGCTGTAAAATCAGAGTTTATTTAAAACTCGTTAATTTGTGAAGTATTAATCTTCTTATCAAAAGGCGATCTTTTCACTTTCGATTTAATTTAAGATATATGAAACATTCTCAAAATGTAATTTACGAAAAAATTACAAAATCTTTATTTTTAAATTAAAAATATATAAAATGACAGAGTATCTTTATTTTTACATTGTTTTGTAATATTTTATACAGTAATATTCGAGCAAAATTATAACTTTTCATAGGTTATATTTTTTCAGATGATACTCGAGTGCAAAATGTTAATGTTAAAAAAATTGTGCTATATAATGTATCGGTAGTTCATAGCGGTAAACGTATCTGTAACGTTGACAAATAGAAATTATTACACGCTAAAAATACAGTCAATACAAGTTAATTATTTTATAAACTGCAAAATGATAATTTGCAAATATTTCTTCAGGTTTTAAGATCCAAGACTTTCGCGTTTTAGGAATCGCACGTTTGTCATTTAGAAATCCAAAGATTCAAGAAAATCTTTCAAATAATTTAAGCAATCCAATCATTTATTATAAGCCAAAAATTCGATACTGGAAGTATTTTGATACTAAAACAAATGAGGTTTAAAAATTCTTGAATTCGATAATTGATCACAACAGCATCATTCATGGCTAGTGTCTTGATAAAATCTAAAAATTCATAGGATATAAAAGAAAAAAACGAAGGATCGATCGATCTCCGTGAGATCAGTAACAGATCCGTGATAATCAAGTACAGATATAAATCACTAGTGACATTTACAAAAGATACAAGCGGACCATTGACTTACAATCCGCGACACTTGTTATCACACAGCTCGCATTATCACTGTACAAAATATTGATTCTACTTCTAGTTCGCGCAAAGTCTTGAGCAATTTTCGTCGAGAGAATACGAAGGTCGGAACCGTCTCTCCGTCGTCTTCCGTCGCGAAATAGACTGCTCTCGCTTGGGAAATGACTTAAACGTTCAAGTCCTCCCAATCCTCGATTTGTCGAGGAGTAAGTTCGATTGTAATCCTGGTCAGAGTGCGTAGAAGATCGTGCAATCTCGGCGGAAGGGGATTCGCTTGCAGGTCGATGAATTCTAGAACAGGTGCGTGCCTAAGCCTCTCGACGTCAACATCTACAAAATAAAACAACAATGTTATTGTTAAGTCATTTTAAGAAAATTTATTGGTTCAAGTAAAATTGTCTTTTTACTTTGATTGTAATGGAAATGCAGTAATTAGCATAAAATCTTTTTTTTCGATTTGCAGTATCAGGAATCAAAATAATTCGATTTCAATCCTTGTAGTACATTTGATATTGATATTTCTTATGCATATCTAAACTATTCTAATTCAATAACTACATTATTTTTGTGTGTAGACACTTTTCTAAAAATGAATACATCCTCCTATTTAGAGAGGAGTAGATATATTATACCCGTCAATTGTTTGAGATACTGATATGATGATAATACTTATATGATAAAAATCTCACATAATAATAAATTAACCGGTACTAACCGATGATAAAGTTGTTGTTAGCGAGAAGTCGTTTCAAATGCGGTATCCGCCAAGCCACAGATGGTAGAGCGATGAAAGTGTTGTGCGAGATATCGAGTCTCTCCAGAGCTTGCAGTTCGGCTAACTCCTCAGGCAGTTTGCTCATCTGATTGTGGCTTAAATTCAGTTCTGCAAATGTGTTTATTGAATATTGTAGGATTTTAAGCAAGAATTTTCTTAAAGATAAATTTTATATAAATAGAGAAAAAGACAGCAATCTGAAGCTACTCTATATAGCTTATCGCTCACCAGTGATTAATGAAAATTTCACGGCAAACTTGGCTGGAATTTTTGTGATCACGTTGCCGGAGAGATCGCATCTTTTCAGCTCTGTGTGTCGCATCAGATGGTAGACTGCGTCTGGGATTTGCATGAGCTGGCACTCTGACAAGTCTAAAAAGTAAAACGAAAAAACGTACAGTTTCCTGAAAAAAATAAATAAATAACATAATACTGTCTTTAAATTATTATTCTCCAAGATTCCGTTAAATTTCTGCCGCTTGCATAAATTAAAACAAATTTTTGAAATAACAAATTAAAAATTTTAGAATCAAATTCTGAAATAAATATGTTTTAAAATAAAAATTAATTTTTTATTTTTTTCGCCTTTGAAAGGAGGACTGATTGCATATCCTTCATAAATATTGAAAGTGAAGGCCATTGTTCACTACGAATCAGACTTATAGCTTTCAAAATATATCCTATTATTCATCATTATATAAACGTTCCTTTTTCTTAATGCTCATTCATTCGATTTTACTTTTGAAATATATCCTATTATAATCATTATATAAATGTCCCTCTCTTTTAATACTCAATAATAATTTTTAAAAATGTTAACATTCTAGTGAAAAAATAGCTGAAATAATTAACTCTTTTCTCGAAAATAAAATAAAAATTTTAATATATCAAAAGGGAACTAGGATCAAAATAAATTTTTATTCTTCCAATGTCTTATCTCACAATTTAGTTTGGCGTACGAATAAAATTCCTTTTATATGATTAAAGTTAAATAGAGAATATGAACAGAGAATATTGAGAGCGAGAGATTTTCTCGCTGTCAAATTTTAATAGCACTAGTTAAATTGTAATAATAAAATTATAAAAGTGTTCCGTCACTTGAAAAAAAATGGGAAAACGCCAATCTAAGCGCATCATAACTGCTGAAAGTCCACTTAACGTCAGTGCACCGCGTTTCACGCTTTCTCTGGCGCGGTTTCCAGTACGGAAGACCGTTCGTTGAAGCTAACTCGAACGCGGGAGCTAAGAATGCGTTATGGAATAAATACATTTTACATTATATATTTATCAATCATCGCGATCATTATAACATCGGAGCAGTTCCGGGAAGATAACAAACCACGGAATTGTCCGATTTAGCAATCCATCAAGGAACAATTTAAATGTATATTTATTATGTTAACGCTTTCTTAAAGAATTTCAATCAAATTCCAATAATTGAGAAAAATGGCTTTCTTTATTCTCTACATATATAATAAAGAATATTTTCTTTTTCTTCGTTTCTTATATCGAAGTTATCACAGAGTTCGATTAAGAGAGATAAAATTAAGTCTGCTTTTTATTCCCTTACTAGATTGTGCTAGAACTTGCTTTCTTGCTTTCGTCAATCTTTCATAAATAATAATAAATCTATTTTACTTTGTTTTGTCACAAATACTCTAACACTTACACAAGTAGGGTAACTCCGGTATATATACGCCTCACCTAACAAAAATTAATTTATTAAGTATTATTTACTATTTTTAAAGTAAACGAACTATATCAGTAAAAACTTTGTACTGTCTACTACTATGAAAAAAATATTAAAAATCCGAAATACTTATTTTTCGTATTAAAAAAAAGAACTTTTTAAAACCCTTGCATTTATATAGGGTGGAATAAACGGCTATTCATAGAGAGAAGGGGGGGGAGGGGTATGTACGGCTCATAAAAAATTTACAAATAATAATAAATAGCTTATAAGTAAGACATAAACTGACACAATAACTTATTATTTATAAAATATGTTTACAAAGTTTTATTAAGGAATAAGAAAAAAAAAAGATAAATATGTATATGAAGTAATAGATAATTACAACTTCCTACATATGTATATTACAAGTGTTATTACATGAGGTATATATTTCATGTAATGTGTTTATTGTGCGCAGACGCATTTGGTGCACTGAATCCAATCTGTGCACTTTGTATGCTTTGGGCATAAATCCCGCCCGCTAAAAATGTCGTATATCCCAAACAGGTGGGATATACAAGACAACAAACTAAACAAAGAATACAAGAGCAAAGCACTTGTATTTTGCTATACAACATACTTCACTATTCCTCTACACTTATGTATCACGAAATAATTATTAAATCTTTTACACGCCCTATAATAATCATTTTATGTAGATTATAATTTATGATGGTGCTACTTATTGCAAAGACAAATCGATTCAACTTACAATAATTTCATTAATATTAACAGTAAGAAATTGAAATTATAATACTAATATAACATAAAACTAATATAACATAAAGACATGTAATTGCGGAAAAATTATCTTCACTCCTATTTTTTCTGATTTCTGCGGCGTAAATCCTAGCGCGGCGTATTTGCCAGAGTACTCTATAGATACTAGTTCAGCCATTATAAAAAAACAGATCTAATGTCATAAAAATCGTTGTGCAAATCTGGGTGTTCTGTTGAATATCGAAATCTCCAAAATCTGATGTAAAGAGAAAACTGTGCAATGAAATTTCGTCAGTCTAGTCGCATTTTTATAATTATTGCTATGATATCCCAGAGTTATGCACCAATGCGAAACACGTTACAAAAACACATGGAAATTCTCACTGCGAGAATTCATTAATAATAATTAGTAACCTTTTTGTTGAATTTTAAGCGCGAGTAAAAGTCATTATACGTACAAAAATTTTAGTCATAATTGTAAGGTCGTAAGCAAATCGACCAATCGTATATGTGAGCGTTTTAAAACGTGAGATCGCAATTTTGATTATGATTGGTCAATTTGTTTGAGACTTTACGATTAGAGCTAAAATTGTTGTACATGTAATGGCTTTAAATCGAATCAAGAACAATCGTTTTCACCGAAAATTTTACAATTTACCGAGGTTTTCGTTCTCCTGCGCTTCCTCGCAGCGAAGAATCACTCTTGTTACAGCGTTTGCCATTTTGGCCGACGTACTGATTCACCGGCACGGCTCCGACTGCGTTTGAAACATTTATTTCTGTGTGTGCCTGCCGAAATAAGTTCCACCACCTGGCCGACCGTGATATTCATCACGACTCATTCTTAGAAATCAGGTTATTAAGGAGAAAATCGCGAAGGTGCTACACTTTCCGTGACAGCTAAATGTACGCACTATATGATTGCGCTAATTGTACATTTTGCACCGATATTATAAGTCGAAGATTTAGAACATCTCTTGAAATAAACGTTCGACAAATTTAGTCAACTAAAATTTTAGATATTTTTTTCGATGTATAGCAAGGAGACAGGCGTGAAAATAGTTCTCAGATTGCTATTTGTTTGTCATAACATTTTCGGGCAGACTGATTGCTTTTAATCACTTGATTTTGATTAAGCACTTAATTTGGATAAAATCTGATAAAATATATTTTTATGAATCGTAATAATTTTATCGAATATCTTAAACTTGTACAATTTTGAATATTCGTTATTGATAAGAATAAAAAAATAATCATATAAATTCAAGATCTCTGATAAAAACATCATGATTCATAAAAATACAGTGTATCAAAATTAAATATAGGGCCAAGTAATTAATCTGCCCAAAAATGGCACCATGGCAAACAAATAAATTGACTGATAATAGATAATTAGATTAATTGAAATATAGGGTAAAGATAGAAAAAAAAATCCGATTTAACACTTTTCTGTGAAAATTACTATATTATGAAAAAAATTTGTCCATTAATTCTTTAAACTCATTTTTATTTGAATTCAAAATAATCTTTTTCGCAAGCAAGTATTTGGATTATTTATATTGTGTTGTTGCGAAATGCCTTATATAATTCGAGCAAAAGATAAACGAGGATAAAGTGCTCGAACAGAGGATTGTAATAATTAGTATGAGAATTATTGTGTAATTAGTATGAAAGTTACTTCTCGCTGTTGCTTCCACGATTATAATTAATGCACGTGCGATCGTTTTTCTTTATCAAAAAGTAATAGAGAAGAGCCGATAGCAAGCTACCATTTAAGGCCATGAGACTCTATACGGAAACTTCTCGCGACTCGTTTGTACGTTTTGTTTTGAAAAGTTCCTACATTTCTAGATTCGCACAAAATCGTTCTTTTATGCGATGCACGAAAGCCTTAGCTCCGACATCTGTTACGTACAATCGTAATAAAAGAAAAGGATATTTTATAAAAAAGTTTATTTTATAAACAACTCATTTTTTATCTTATTGGATGCAATATTGGAGATTTAATAGCTAATTTTTATTCTAATTTAATATCAGTAAATATCAATTTATATGTTATATTATATCTTTGTTAAGGTATGCAAATTTGTAAAATCACTCTACGAAATCAGAAATCTATAACTCAGACTTGGCTTGGAATTAAGAATCATTGAAAGATCTATAGTATCAGAGATTTATTGTTAATGTTACGCAGTTACTTTTTGTCATTTTATTTGTATCATTGTATTATAATGCATCTCGCATTTGATATGTCAAACCACATAGTAAAAAGATTCATAAAAAGAAGGAAACGTAGCCTTCTGGCAATATTCGGGGCGCATAGATCAACATTGCCAAGGCTCCGCTTTACTATTCCGAGATCGACCTTTCGTGTATACATTGGGTGTTCCGAAGATACGCACGATCAGTCCGGATACCAGACGAAGATACGACCAGAGGATCACAGCTGTTCCGCGAGGTTCACGATGTGAAAAGGAAAGAGACAAAGGCCGGATACGCGTGTTGTATAACGCAATGTTTATCCAGTCAATTATCTATGCTGGAGTTGCGAAGCAAACATTTCACTTTTATCCGAGTTGATGCTCGAGAAACGTCACTCATTTATTTATCCATTCCTGCGTAATTCCTCCAGCGAAATTTCATACATAGTCTTCAATTTTATTTTAATTGTTATAGTAACAACTTAGTTTGTAAATATCATAAATATTCTACTAATTTTTAATCTGTAAGAAATTTAAATATCTTAAAAATCTTTAAAACACATAAATTATCTTTGCATAACTGTGATTTATTGTTATGATTATATAATTGGTCTGTTTCACAAGTGGTACATTTATTAAAAAATTAAATAAAAAAAAGAAAGATTTTTTTATTCATATATTTCATTCATATATTTTTTATATTGCTCATTATGATATATAATTGTATCTTTTTATCTTTAATGAAATTAATATGAAATTGCAAAGTAGAACGGAAATGTTCTTCACGTACTATATGATTGCTTTTACGCGATGAGTACGTCATTGGCATGATCCGTACTTTCTACGGAACTATGTTATAAGTTTTTTGCTGAACTGCAACAGGAAATCATCAATACATTGCATCTCGACGCTCGGCGATCGTAGACCAATTTTTATTAGCTGTTCCTTGCTTCCTCTTTTTATTTTTTTCAATAACTATAGTGATACGCGTGTAAGAAAAACGTATCACAAATCTTGATGAAAGTAAAAGAGCTCGTTAGCTATACAAAGCAAACTGAGTCACCGATAATGCATTAGATAAGATAGATATTATTAACGTGACAATACGCAGAAATGCGTTGTTGCGATCTACCGCTTACCACTTGCAATATTTTTATCGTAATCCAATAATTGATTTACACTGCGAATCTTATATTTATATCGTAGAAACTGCGTTTTATTGATCGTCAGTTTTAGATTTACAGAACTTTCACAAGTTCTCTAATTGGATTTCTGATGTTACAGATTTTTAATCTTTGTTTTCGTAATCGTTAATATCATGAATCTTTGTATTACAAACCGTTAGTACCAGATCTTTACTATTCAGACCTTTAATATTAATCGAAATATATAAAATTATTGATAAAATAAACATTATGTAGATAGACATTTTAACATTACATTTATTATCGCTGATTTTAAATCATACTTATTTAAATTTAAAGAAAAGATGTTTCATATTACATTTTTTTATTGTAGATATTTGTCACTATAAATATTTCATTCAATAAATTCTTATGACTGCAATGTAAGCATTACATTTCCGATTTTGTAGAATTGTGATACTACAAATTTTGAAAGTTGAACTTATAAACTTTAATACTAAACATCACAAACGTTTATTCATATATTTTGATTTCGCGAATATTTTCTACACTTTTTGTCTATATGATGAGCCTCGATTTTCAAGATTTTAAGTTTTAGAAATTCTGGAATTTATTATTTTCCATATTAAATTATAATTTATGTTTAAAATTATAGTCTGCGCAATCGTAATCGGAGTACATTTTATAAAATAAAAGGTGGTGAGTCACAAGCACCGGCATATTACAATAGAAAAACAATAAAAGCATTGTTAATCAAGGTCACAATGTGCGTAGACGGCATGTTACAGATAAGGTAAGGGTGGAAATTATCTCAAATCAGGAAGTAGAACCGTGACATTGAGATACATATATAGTATTAACAAGCTCAACTTTTTCGTGAGACAACCATTTCTCTTATAGTTAATTTTGAGTACGGTCAATATAATACTATAAATTTTGAGCCATTCTTTAATTGGCTAATTAATAAACATTTTTTTTCTAATTGATCAATTAAATACTCTAAACTTGTAGTTGAAATTTTGATCGCACTCTTTAACTACCCTTAGAAAAATTTAATATTGTTAAATTTCATATTAAATTGCCAAAACAAAACACGCATATTTAAAAACGAGACAAAAAACATCTTAAAAATGCTTTCAAAACGTTTTAAAGACATTTTTTTAAAAGATATCTTTTAAAAGACCGTCTTATATCATGAACTTTTGAACATTTTGAACTTTATGTTGTCTAGTTATTTATTTTATTAGTTTTATTAGATTTAGTTTTATTAGATAATTATTTATTGTAAGTATTAAAAGCAACAACAATACCTTTAATACTTATAATAAATAATTATCTCCAACCAATTTACATAATACTTGCTGTATTAACTTTCTCTAAGGAGAGATGTTGATATAAATCAACCCGACGCTGTTAAATTTATAACGTTGAAAATCTATCGAATCAAAGATCTTACATCTATCGTATCAAATTCGTATTTAATTTATACACAGGTCAAATATATGTCTACTACATTTCAGTATCAAAATTTATTAAACTTTATAATACCAAAAAATTTAAAAAGTGTTTTAAAAATCCGAATTATCTTTTGATCATCTAAGAGAAAGTTTCACTATTTATTAACTTAATTGACTGATTATTCCATTGGAACTAATTAATCAATCGCATTTATCATTAATCAGAATGAATCAGAATTGACTAATTACAGTTAATACTTAATTAACTAATTAAGCTAATAAAAATGATAAAATTGCCCTTCAGGAACATTGCAAAGATCTAAAATTCTTCAGATATTCAAGCAAAATATTTAAGATTTAGAACACTTTTTAAAATAACTTTATGATATGTTCTTTATTTTATTTTACCTAAGTTGCAGTTATCCTGGGCTTCCTCACATCGTGAAACCACCCGGATGATCGCCCGACCAGCCAGTTGAACGCAGACTGCCATTGCAACATTTCTCTCGCCTTGCTCCTGCGAGATCTGCTGCACCTCTCCTTCGTTATACGGCGGCCTCATGTTTCTTCACACTTCGTACGATTATAATTGACGGCGACAAGCGCGCAAATATGAATTTCTCTTTCGAATTTGTCGTATCAAAAATCAGTACCGATCTTCGTACACTCGCCGAGAAATAATTTCTTTTACTGGATTTCTATTGTAATCGTTAAAAGAACATTTTATAAGCTTCAATTAAACGGTTAGTCTTTGTGTAAATTTTACACCTGTTGATAGCTAGTCGCTGCGAATCACTGGCAAAAAACTAAATATCCGGCAGATCCAAAGATAGAAAGAACTTAGCTGAATGGAGAATTTATATAGTATATATTTCAACTCAATTGAGATAATTTCTTTCACTGAGAAAATTTTGTCAGGATGAAAATCCGCGCAGATTGAATCCTAATGTTTGCGAAGGATGTTCTTCTTTGTGATCCAATTTAAAATTCAGATTTAATTCGAATGAGACTAGAACGTTTCTCAGAAGATTATCCGGATTGGAAAAAGACGCAAATTTTCAATTTCTTCACCGGGACACTCATCTTTCAGGATCTCGCACGATTTTATAAAGTCTAAGACATAAAATCCACCTCAAGCATTCTGGAGGGATTTTCGTTCTCGCGAGGCAACTTCAACGGAATGTAGATCCAGCTGACTTCCTATGCGATTTGCATGAACTTTACAGGTCTTAGTCCATTTGACGTTCCTGAAGATCACGGCGACCGAAGTCCGTTTCAGGTGACTCCGTCAACACTGCTTGCACGAGTGTACGCGGTGCTATTTAAGCCTTTGCCACTCTCCCCGCCATCGGGGAAGCGTCACGAAACAGCTGACTACTTTGTATGTGTGTGTACATTCACTCTCCCTCTCTTTGTTTGAAAACAAACGCAGTCAGATACACTGCGCGACATGCAAGCTGTCAAATTCGGGAATTCCGTGTTAGAATCACGTTTATTCAAGGTTCCTGCTGTTTCAGGGTTTCTTCAAAATCTCTGCAAGTCTCTTTTGTTTTGACATTCAAAAAAAAATTATCGATTAGCAAAACTATTATTTTAAGATTGTGCAACTTGTTAAATTAAATGTTTTCCATTAAAATTGTACTGATCGAGATTAGTTTTTGCTTCTTTTCTCTCTCTCTCTCTCTCTCTCTCTCTCTCTCTCTCTCTCTCTCTCTTTCTCTCTCTATCATTAAAATATTTATTAAAATTATATTTTGCTTCTTTTCTATCATTAAAATATTTTTAGAATTTTCTTGAGATCATTTTTCTTTAGATCTTTACTATTAAAACTTTTGCATTAAAATCATATTTTGCACTTTTTTAAAAAACAAGTTTCTTCAAAAAGAAGCTTCGACAATAAAATTATAAACAAATTGTCAAGTTCTAATTTGTCAAAACTAATTTCAATATATAAACTTCTTAAAATCTTCTCGAAAAATTTTCTTTTTAAAAATTCTTTAATTTTAAAATTGTACGAACTAATTAATTATAATTTCGATTTTATGTTAATTATTGAGATTATATTATAATATAAAAGAATTTAAAAAATCTATGTTCTCTCTCTCTCTCTCTCTCTGTCTCTCTCTCTCTATCTTAAAAATTGAAATTTAATAAGTCAACTTCATTCAGTTTTAGTTTTGTTACACAGAATATGACTCATATATTTCACAGTATCACAATCACAAATTGACAAAGTAGGTATTGTTGAAGAAGAAATGAAGATTACACATCGACACGAAAAAGCTTCAATGTCAGTGTTGACGCGCATTGAGCTTTTTGACTGCGCAGTTTTCCGAACAAAGAAATTCCCAAACAAGATTAGCCTCTTTTTGTCGTAAACCACTTTATTACTTATTCTGAAAAAAGTTTTTCATATCACAATTTTTCATATCACAAAAAATATTTTTAAAGTATTTCTGTTCATTACATAAAAATATTATGCTTAATTATTATTTAAATATATTAAATATTAAAATATATATATATATATATATATATAATGCATATATAATTTTTAAAAAATATAAATGGAAGACATAAAAAAAATATGTTAACACAGATGTTATAAGAACAGACTGTGCATTATTTATCAGTCACTATCAGTTTAGAAAGAGTGAGGTTGAAGCATATCGTTTTTCGCTTTCTAAAATATCAAATTAAAGAGAGATGCGCTCTCTCCCTCCTCCCTCTCTCTCTCTCTCTCTTAGAATTGAAAATATTCAATTCTTTCTAATAGAGTATAAAAGCTAAGATCAGAGAATGCGTAATCCATATCCATAATGTCTTCGGATACTCTGAGTTTATGTATTAAATACTTGAAGAAATACAAAGCTTTCGTGCAAACGGTTATCTGCATATATACGCAAAATTATTCACTCAATTAATGTGCGAAATGAAGGTCGATAATATTATGTAAACTGTGTTGCATCGGGGCAAATTGCCCACTGCGCCATTTCGGATATCATTATCTACACTAATAGTACTCATAGCATACTATTTTACCTCATTTATCCTAAAATTTATTCTATAAATAATTTATTAAAGGTGCAAGATATAATACTTAAAATTAAAATATTAATTGATATTATTAGTTCGCAAAAGTGAACCTGGTTTGCAAATATAATTTAAACGGTGCAATAAATGTTTATTGCTTTTACCACGTGCTATACCCAGTTTACTATGCGCAATTCAATATTTAGGAAATTGTAGCAGAGATGTACGTCACTATTTCGCTTTAATAGTAAATTATCGTGCGAATGTCCAGAGGAATTTGTGAAATTGCCAAAAATGTAATCGCGACACGAATATGTAGTCACGTTTAATTTTGGCCAAAATGACGAGAAAGCTAGAAATCGACTACTGTTAGATGTTTTTCATGAATTCATCAAAGAACTATTTTTTTTCTTATTTTTTTGGAAAATAGATTGATTTTACAAGTATATTTTTATTTTTTGTCAATCATCAGCGATGTATTATTTAGCTTGTTAGAAAATAATAGAATAATAGAATAGTGTTGTTTTATTTCTCTTTTGCGTTTCGCTAATTCTTATTTAAATGTTTTATTTGTAATTGAAGTCTCATATATTTCTTAAAGAAGACGAAAAACAACGGCACGCTGATAAAATGAATTTCACCACTGTCTGCAATCCAACTCGAGTGCTTCTTCTTCCTCCGCATTAGAGGACTTTGCTCTCCATTCATTGTGAAGCTCAGTGCTCAACAGGGACAAAATGTTTATACAGTTCCGCGGTATGCTTGGCCAGCAGCCAGAGGATACTGCGTGTACATCTTGTCGACGGAAATAGACAGCCGCAGACCAAAATCCCCCATGACTTCTCTTTCATCGTTTTCCTCTTCATGCGATGTAGGATATGAAATGACGAGCCAGATCGTACGAGGAATCGAGAATCCGATCTGTGATGACTCGATCAGTACATTATTCTTGAATTTTTTGATATAATTTTCAATCTTTTTTACATTTCTAGATCTTTCATCTTTTTTTTTAAATATTTTGGCATAAATATTTGTTTAAAGATATTTAAAGATATTTATATAAAGATAATTGTAATTTTTTTTCTATCTACAAGAAATGCAAATATTAATTTTGACATATCTCAAAATTCTTAGATTCCTGAGTCTTTAAATTTTTAGAAGCTCAAAGACAGCAAGAAAATCAAAATAATATCAATTTGACCGATTATTGATCGAATTTATGTCATTTATTTTGTCACGATTCGATCAATATGTTATTAATTTGACTTTCTTGTGTTGTTTGAGATATGAAACTTTTGAATATTTAAATTTCATATTCTTCAATTACATATTTTGATATTTTTAAGTTAGACATTCTTCAATCATTTAGATATTTTAGATTAATGTTCAGGTTTTTTTATTGTATTATAGTATTTCAGATTATAATTGACTTCTCAGCATTTATATCGGCATGGTGATAGATGTACGCACAGAAGAAAGCGAGTATCTTTAAAGTAATTTCTACGTGGGCTGGCTGGCTTCCGTTCTTGTCTTTTTCCTTCTTCAACGGAGAAGAAACGGGGAAAACGTCGGGGGAAGACACCTCGGCTCGTACCCTTGCCAACCAGCGTACATTGGCCCTGTGGCATCGTCGCCGCTGACGTCCGTCTGTTCTTTATAACACGCAGTCGCATGTTCTCTCTACTGCGTCTTCAGTTTTTGGTACTTACTGGAAAATCGTCTACGACAGCGACCATGATTTCACAAACACGGTCGGGGTACAACAAGCACATGACTCCCTTGTTTTCCCTTATTTCTATCGTGTATTTTCTTCATTTTCATTAAAATTAACATCTAATCGTGCAGATTGAATCTTTGTTGCAATTTCGGGTTTCTTATAAAAATTAATCAAATCAACACACACACACACACACACACACACACACACACACATATATATATACATAAATATTGCGAACAAAAATTAAACAAATCCTCTTCTTAAAACTTAAGAAATGAGTACAAGGCATATAAATGAGTACAAGATATGACTAATATAAAACTAGTTATAATCATGAAAGATTTAATACATCTTTAGCGCGAGAGATTGCAACAGAAATGTCGTTCGCGTTCGTGACGTGCGTTCACGCGACCTCGATTTTCGCGAATGTCTATTTTTCATCGTGGAATTTCCCCGACGCGAACAACACGATTCGACGACGCGGTCCATCCTGCCTCGGTGACTTTTATTGCGACTTCTGTGTATCTCTTCATCTGCACCAGGCTCTTTTGTAGCACGTGTGCTTTTATACAAGGATGAATCAAAAAGTAAAGATATGAAAGCCTTTCTCGCGCAAACAAAGTGCTACAGTCTGCGACGAGAGCAACATGTTCATTAGATGCATGGAATTTGATACAATGAATTTCCGTCACTACTTCATAGTATTTCGTTTTAGTACTCGCGCTTCTCAGATTTTTATGAAGAATACTATTCAATTTATAAATAAATTTCAATTCGCAAAATATAACTTGAAAAATAGATAGAAAAGACGCACAATAAATTCTAAATTTTAAATAATAACATTGGTATACGATTTGCAATTAATTCTTAAATGAGAATTCTAGTTAGAAATTGAATAGTTTATAAATCATGCAATTGCATACTCAAATATCAATAGATTGTAGATAAAAGGTACATATACTAGGGCGTATTATAAATAGAGAGATTTACAATAATTAACAATCTGTAATCGCTTTTATGTTCCACTTTATATATAACAATGAGCGATAATACATTGGTTTGCAATCGCGCAACACCTTAAATTACAGCCACACAAAAATGCTTATGGATGGATTTCGCTAATACGAAGCTGCTCGTATACTATTAAATGCACTGTCAATAATTAAGTTAAATACAGTCAAAATTTTTGCAGTTTCTTAATTGGTTATCATATCAATATCAATTTATAGGCCAAAGCGGTAAAATTCTTTGATTATAGATTCAACAGTCAAAGATCTGTATTCATTCAGCGCATTTAGCGTTACACGTAATCATCCAATTGCCATTATCTAGCTCAATCAATGTACTTTTTACGTAGAGATCGGAATCGCAAAACCATATCTAATGCTAAATATAACGCCACTCGTTTACTTCCAGTTTTTTCTCAGTATTATATCCTTTCTTTCATTTTTAACATACGAATATATAATATAGTTGTTTAATGATTCAGTATAATCGTTTCAATTGATAGATATGTTCTGTGTTAAAATTTAAATTATTTGGCACCATCTGCGATTCGTAAGTAAGATACTGAAAAACGTCATGGCATTTGCTCTCATTTTCTTTCTATGATTATAATTTGTGAATTATTTAATAAAGATCGTAAAACAGTAAAATGTACTGTAATTTAAAAGATGTAGAAAGCAATGTAGATATTAAAATTCCTTCTGTCAAATATTTTTTTAACGATTAAGATCGCAAATTGGTTTTGTTAAAAGAGACGAAAAAGTTTGAAAATGTTATTAAAAATGTGTAAGACATTTTCTTATCACACGTATTTTGGCGCAAAATGCACGATTGTGCACCATATTCAACAACTGTCCGGTATAGATCATCACTTACGATCGCGACAGATCATCGTAATCTCAATCTATAAATAGTCTTATAAATTCGCAATATAATAATATGTTCATCACACATTAGATTCCCGAACCTAATATATCGCATAAAATAGTTATCAGATAAAATGTATTTTAGGCATTTGGAAAATCGCACTGTCTTTTTTTTTTTATGTAAAGCTTTAACTAACGTGCATCGTTTCACAAGCAAGAGCACTCTCTTGTTGTGTGAATACACACGCACGTTCCTATGTACATTGCAATAATTATTATTATAACAATCTATTAATACTAATTTTAACGAGTTTGGTGTTTTCTCTTAGTAAATATAATATCCAATCTCTGAGTATTATCCAACTATGTATATCATGCAAATTATAACACATAAATCGATAAAATTATTAGAAGCCCTTAGAATTAGATAATACAAAAAATTGTATTATCTGCGTGCGTAATTACGAATGTATTATTTATGTGCATAATGAACACACATAGAATTTCAATTGGTCCTATAGTGCAAATCAAATTCAATTGGTGTACAGTGCAAATATATAATTACGTAATCGTTTGCAATTATTAATATTAAGTTTTGTAAATTAAGCAAGATAAAAAAAAATAATATAAAATTTCTTTAAAAAAATATTTTAAAAGATTTTGAAACAAGAATGTAATTGTCAAATATTTGTTTAAAGATTTGTTATCATATATAGGACTAAAAAATTTGAATTAATTAATAATTGCATTTTATCATCTCTGTCTTTTCGGCACTCATTGTAAATTGTGTTAAAGTTCAATCAATTGACTAATGTAGAATAGATTTTGAAACAGCTATGCTTCAAAAAAAACGAACAAACACACACGCGCGCGCGCGCACACACACATACACACTCTCTCTCTCTCTCTCTCTCTCTCTCTCTCTTTCCCCCTTCCTCTCTGTAATATTATAATATAGTATAATACTTATAAAGTTACATCAACGTTAAAATGTATCGTTATGTAACGTTATAATAATGCTACATAAGTAACGTTTTCTAAAATATTATACAGTAAATATTATACAAGTAGAAACAAGAAAAAGTAATTACAAGATTGTGATTCTGATATCTGCACCAATGGAATGTTAATATAAATACTGTTAGATACTTGCTCCTTATTATCTGTGAATATAAATATTTCTGTGCATTTTATACAGTCTGATAACATTACAATTTTAACATTATAATCAATTTATATTAAAAACGGCAATATCAATATCATAAAATTGATATAACATAGTGTTAGTGTCCCAGTGTTAGTTACCCAGTCGTTGCTTATTATGAAATAAATAGCGAAAACAAATTATATTATTTCATTATAAAATATCGCTACATTTTCTATGTTCACTTGTTTTATAAAGAAATGGGAAAAAATGCGCTTTTTTCTTAAAGCTCTCATATTAATTGAATGTGTTAAGATTCCTTGCTTTGTGGTCGGTCCACCGCCTCCTGCGCGTGTTGTAAGCCGGCGCAGTAGTGCAACAACAGCACGCTTAGTGCCTGTACTCGCAGGTCGCTCTGCGCGATCAGTTTCATGCTGTCCGCGTCTCCGTTCTGGGACAGTTCTAATCTTGAGGTAGTTTCAGCATCTAGCGCGTTCTTCAATTTTCCCATCTACAAAAAAAGATATACTTATTTAACAGATTCCTACAGTTAAATTTTTATATTGACTATGCAAGAAATCTTATCATTATCAAAATCATGGTGATTCAATATTTAAGGCTTTTTAAACCTTTGATCAGGAAGACTCTTTATTTTATAGTCCATGAATTTCTAGAGCCGTAGATAAATCTCTCGAATTACCTTTAACTTCGAAATAACTTGTGTAAAAAAACTTATATCACATACCATGGTGTTGATTTTCTCGACGCGCTCCTGCGGCTCCAAGTATTTATACAAGAATTTGCCGGTATCCCTGGCCCTCGACATAAGACCATCGTCTAGGTCGCCAGCCATAAGTGGAGCTGCAACACTTGGCTCAGCACCCTCCAAGAGGTCAGGACTTATTCCCAGACCTCCAGCCAATGAATTCTAAACGTTTCAACAATTTCATCAAATTGATTAATGCGACGCGCTCTCTAAAAGGTGCATCCTCGTTCGATGTTATGCCGATTCGGAAAGTGAAACATAATCAAGCAGTCGAACCGATCATACGTGTGAGTCGCATTGATCATCCTATATCTATATGATCACCGTGTAGAAGCTTGCCTCCAGTGTTAAGTGCAATTGCAATGCAATCAGTGTTGTGATCAGCGTTCATGGTGTTGTTGAAAATCCTCGTCAATGAGAAAACTTGCAGCAGTTTCGAGCAAGTGATAAATATTACATCTCTCTTGTAATAGAAATAATAGTCTGTAGATGATAGTAACCATTTACTAATTGTAAATAGAAGAAATTCAAAGAATTCAGATATTCATAAATAAATGATCTATAAAAAAATTAATGATTAATTGGATCAAAATTGCCTCAAATTCTATTTCTCGTTTATCGTTAGTTATTAATCATCTGTGTTATTGCACAGTTATTAATCACTTTATCTTGCATCTTATGTGAGAATTAGCAAGTTCATCTTGGATGGCGATTGTAAGGCATGATTGATGAAGGAATGATTAAAGCGAATAAACACACAAGCAGAGAACTATAAGATATGAAAAATTTTCCAAAGAGCATATTCTTTTTTCTTTTTTGGTTTTAGATTTGAAAAAAAACATGGAAGAAGGTGAAGCGGAGAAGGTTTGATGCAACTCTCAGACAAAAAACTATATAGTAAAATGGAAAGTTGCATATGCAAGGAGAAAAAATGTTTTACTGAAATTACATTGTCTTGGCCATTTAAAATTTAATGCAATTTAAAAAATAAAAGACAAAAAATACGGAATATAGACAAAAAAACATTCATTTTTAATTTAATTAAAAAACATGATGTTTCAATATATTTTTAACATAATCTTTCAATTAAAAATAATATAATGATTTATAAAATATAATTATTTATAATTATATTCGAATTGTAATGTTATTGTCTTAAATTTTTCCATTATATCCTCTGTTTATTAGCATTGCAATGCTAATAAATGTTAAACATTTCGTCAGATAAAAATTTTTTTAAATTGAGCACCTTCTCCGCTTCGAACGAACAAATGTGTGTTATTATTCTACCTTGCGGGATGCACAGGGACTTGGGGGGAGACTTCGAGATGCCAGACCAATACCGGAAGCCGGTGGGGCCAAGCAACTGGTACTTCCAGCCTTCTTCAGGCCCAATAGAGTGTTAGCTATACTAGCCTTCACGGCCATCATACTTGCGCCCTAATTAATCGATCAATGAATTTCAAATAGATTAATACCTTTTCACCATTTACGATTAACAAGCTATTCGTAAAATAATAAATCAAAAGTGCAAAATTAATTTTCGCGCTATTTTCGTTGTAAAGTGTACGTCGTTTTACCAAAAAAGTATACAATTTATGAAATTTTAAAATGCTTTATACTTGCCAATTTATCGCTATCTAAATTCTAAGACATATTAGACTGAAATAAAATATAAATAAATTTGAATGCTGAATATCCACGTCATAGAAATCTGCGTTAAAAAGTTACAAAAATATTTATTTAGAATAATTTTAAAATATTTTCTTTTGCAGACTACTCACAAATATCACATATATATTAGGTGTTGGAATTAATTCGTAGCGTTTTTAATGAAAGAATGTTATTTATTTCACATGAGCATTAAAAAATACATTAATGAAAGTACTTCCCATCACTTGTAAAACGCTACGAATTAATTCCAACACCTAATAGAATATATGCTTTATTAATAATTTTTAAAAATTTGAAAATTGATGAAATTAAAAACACTATTGATCTCATATGAGAAAGAAAATTAAACATACTTATGCTATTCGTATGTAGTTCATTGAGAACAAAGGCAAGGTCAAGGTGCAAGCTTTACAAAGAACCTTCACCTCCCCGTGCATATGTTCAGTTCATTTTATTGCCAACAACAAAATGCAAGTCACGCTTAACAATCTCTGCTATATATACAAAATATCAAGATAAATGCATTTGAAGACACACGTGAGTTTTCGAAAATTGTACAGTCCCTTAACCATGTGACATGTCATTAAACGCTTTAATATTTCATCGATATGTAATAATGATAATTATTTGATCTGTCCACATGATCAGTGTGTACTCAGAATGATATCAATAAAATTAATATCACATAGAAATCAATCCTTTTAATATAACTCAATAAAAAAGCATTATAAATAAATAAAAACAGTTGGATAAAACTGAACATGTTCAAAATGCAAAACAAAGTCTATTATTGCTACATTTAAAAATACTTTTAAATAATAAATATTATAAATATTATAGACATCACTTTTAAATATCATATAATATTAGTTATACTTTTTATATATTATATATTATCTATATCTATATAATACATAACATAAAAATATTTTATATAATATATCATATAATATTTTTATGTTATTTTTAAATATTTACATTGATAGATATGAATATTAGGCAATATCCAAATTATAATATGCGGAATGTAAAATATGATTTCTAAAAAATGAATAAATAAATCATGGAGCACTTCTATAATATAGTTGATTCAACGTACGTGATGTTAATGTAAATTGCATATTTGAGGAGAAGATTTTCAACGCGTTTTGTCCAAAACTTATAATTTTTGGAAAACGAAGAAGAAAGCTACAAGGAAACTACGCGCCTTACAGAAAATAACAATTTGCCAATCAATAAAATGTAAAATGTTAAACAAAATTACTAAACTATTTCTAATAATATTAAACAAATGTATTTTGTTTGTATCTAATTAAAGGACATATTGCAATATACTTCGAATGTCTAGACTTTTTTCAGCATATAAATTGATGATAAAAAAATGTTTCCAGAACATCGTAGAATAATTTAAAATATGAGTCTTTCAACATTGAACATTATGTCGCAGGGTTGGTAAAGACTAATGTTTTTTTTTTTAAGGAATAAAATATTTATTATATAAATATTGTGTTTTTTCTTAAATATGTTTTTAATGCTTCAAATATGCTTTAAACAGTACTATAAAAAAAAAACATATTTCAAACATATTAAAAACATCAATTAAGCATGTTTTAAATTGTTTAAAACACGTTTAAAACATATTTTTTACCAACCCTGCTATGCCGCTTCTAACTCAAAAAACGTAATTTGGACAAAATGCATTTTGGAAATCTGCTCCTTATTTGTGTAAACGTAAAGAAACATTGCAGTGTATAAATTATAATACAATCATACAAAATAATATTACTAGTATTAATTATTTAGTTATAAGATTCACAGCATCGGACTAGAAAGCAAAATACTATATCGTTTTTAACTTAATATTAAAAAATTAATATTAAAAATTACTATCAAGATAAGAGTTTCTCTTAAATATAAATAAATTGGAATTTTCTAAATGCCAATAGTGAAGATTATAAGTGTCTTTTTTCTTTCGGTCCGAATCTGCTGTCTCGTATAGGAAGCATCATATAACGCAATACAAAGTGATTACGCTCGCGGATAGCAAAATGCCCTAAGGTTCTATGTCTTGAGTACCTGTACGTTATCTTCGCATTCAGTCAGAGAGATCTCCGGGCTAGAGATATCCCCAACGTTTGGTTCGCCGACAACGATCTCGTCCGCCTCCAGAGCCAAGGTTGCTAGACTTTCCGCACCGCAGGTGCCAGACGCCTGACAACGTGCCTCGCACTTTTTGTGACATACCATGCCGCAGTCTCGACACTGTACTGCATCCTTTAACCAAATCTGCACAGGAAACAATCTGGATAATCATTAAGTAAATAAAATAAAGAAATAAAATAAAATAAAATTTTAGTAAAATTTTAATAAAATAAAAATAGTTCTACTTTTTTAAGTTCTCTCTCTCTCTCTCTCTCTCTCTCTCTCTTCCTCCCTCCTCCTCTCCCCCCTCCTGCCCTCTCTCTATCCTGGATACCACAAACATTAATTAAAAAAAAGATATGTACATACACTTAGAAAAATATATAGTTTCAATTCTAATAAATCTACCACTTAAATATTTAATAAATATAAAGATATATTTATTTGGTACAAGAATCATTAATTTGATTTAACAATCATTCTTTTTATTGAACAACTATTTATTTACTGTAAGTAAATACTTAATTAGCAGTACTGAATCAAATATTTATTAAAATTGACTATTTTTTTTTCAGTTAATTAATTGATAATTTTATTGATGTTCATCAAAACAATTTGAATTATTAAATAAATTATTTATTTATCATGCCATACTTACCTTTTTCGTGCAAAAATCGCAGTGTGTTGCTCTGTGGAAATGCGTCCTAATGAAATCGTGTATCTTTCTATCAGTGATTTCTTCGCTTGGAATCGGTTGAATTTTGGCAGTTTCTGCGTTTTCTTTCTTTCCAATATCGTTGACTATGAGATCGCTTGGTTGACAAGATTCCCATACATATGATAGCAGGATATCGCCGTAACAGAGTGTTGGATCGAATCCCGAATAACCCTGCAGTCTTACGTATGATGTTGCTAAAGAAGCTTTAAAAGAAATTCCAAAATTAATTCTTTAAACTTGTTTCTAATTAATTCTCTTTAGAATTGACGAAATTTACCAGAATTTCAATGCAAAAGAAATATTTATTCTTTTATTATTTCGAGTTCACTTGAGAAGATTTATCAGACAAAACTATTGTTTATATATAACTATACTGGGTGTCCCGTAAGTTTCTGCCAAGTGCTTTTGTATAGATAGAATAAAGAAAATAAACAATTTTGTCTCTCGCTGTTTTTCTATAAAGTAGTATTTGAGTAAAAAATTATTAAAAACCAATATTCAGCGACTTTTAGTAATTAATATCTTGTTAACCAATTGCAAAAATTGTACAATAAAATGGTAGAGGACTTTTCGACTCAGTTTAGTTCGCTCTATCTACACAAAAGCGCTTGGCAAAAACTTACAGAACATCTTGTATAATATATATTTGTAGTTGTTATAACTAAAATTAAAAAAGAAAAGATAATAATTTTTGAAACCTACCACTATCTGGAGGCAACAAAGCATGACATTTTAAGTAATGTCCAGTCGTGGAAGTGCAACATTGCGACAGGATTAATTTTACAGGTGCATTTATGTAGCCTAGCAATTTCGGTGGTGTTTCACCGCCCTTCACACGACCCCATACACCTACATTTAAGTATTGCAATTCAGAATCGATCCGGAAGCTTTTGGTCTCCTCAAAGGTAATCAGAGAGGCATACGATTTTTCTTTCGTGTTGTGATACAGATCAGTAATATTGTTTGTGCTACTATCGTCCGGAAGATAAAATTGAACATTGCTGGATGACGCCGATGATGTGGAGATCGTTGAGATTCGTCGAGACGGCGTAGTATCCGGTGTCTGGGCGATTTCTTCTATCTGAATGCTGCTCTTTCTTCTCTTGAATAGCTTGGTTTCTGACCGGGTGTCCGTGAGATCAGTGTCAGAATCTCGTAGATCAGAGAACTTGATTTGTGTTTCAAATTTCATCTTCCCGGCATCTTCTACACTCGGGCTGTCTAGCTTGCCCACTGAATCACTCTTCGAAGTCTTTCTTTCTGCGAAAAGCATTCTCTCATTATCTGTTTTCTGTCCTCTTTCGCTTGAATCTGCCTTCGAATACCGTCTTTCTACCCTGATAATGAAACGTCGCTGTACAGCAGACTTGACAAATTTCGCCACTTGGTTCATGTTCGACACCTTTTTGCCGTCCACCGCTACCAAAATATCGCCCTTTCTCATTTCGGCGATCGCCGCAGGACTGCCGGATACTATAGTCTCAACTAGTACACACATTTGGCCGATCTCTGATACAATTTCCTGCTTGAACACTACACCCAACTGCTGGGAGCCCGTTTTACTGATGATTAAGTCTAGGACCATATACGGAACCCCATTATACTGCGTTAAGTAAATCCATGGAGTGGAATCTATGCTCATGGTGCAATAGACTTCTATCTGCGATACGTCTTCGCCGTTATTGAGAACGATAGGTGCGAGATTTAGTCTGCTAATCTCCAATAGTGTGACCTCCAAATATCCTGGAGTGAGCTGAGTACTTGCAACCTGGAAATATAGATTAAGATATTATATGAAAATATAAACAAAACAAAAATTATAAAAGCTAATCTTTACTTCTTGTATTGAAATTTTAGCAAATGTATGAGTGAATTATTTAAAGCTATGAATAAATTTAAAGGGAGGAAGTATTATACTTCTGAGAGATCCACGGCCTCGTCGTTCAATCTTCGGAAAAACGGTTTGTAACGCATCTTATAACGAGGTAGAGTATGCTTCCGCTTCACTGCCCTCCTAATCTGACTGGTAATGATTGAAATTATCTGTGGCTGTAACTGACGACCTTGAAACTGTGATTGTACTTCCAACTCCAAGATCGGATCAGAATAAAAGCTCAATGACCAGTGCGTGTACGGTACGCGAGTAAACTGTAGCCTAGCTTTACCACTGATACGCTTTACTATAAAAATTTATAATGTATAAAAAGAACGTTATAATATTGAGTTGGAGAGAGAAAGTTTCTTCGTATTTTTATGCAAAAGTTTTTCATTTGTTGCGAAATTTTTATTACAATTATATCATTCACTAGAGCGAGAAAGTTTCAGCTTGTTTTTTTAATTGCGATACGAACATCATAAAGTCAAAGTCAGAATGCTCCTTTACTTAACTCGAATATAATTTAAAAAATACGAAAAAACTTTCTCCCCCCAACCCAATATGATAATTCTTTTTTTTATCATATATATATATATATATACATAATACCTTGCAGCGCCATATAGGCTGTTTTACCGAGCAACATCTTAACATCTATAGACAATTGAAAATTTCCTGAGTAATGTAAATCTAAGGCCAAGTCCAGAGACTCCAGCAAACCTGTGTCGGCATCGATTTTTGAATTAGCAACTTCCAAACCCTTTATCGTCGGAAATTGCGTGCCAAGGTTCAAGTCTCTTAACTGCAAACAGTTACAGAAAATTTATTACACAAAGGCTTACAACAATTGCTTTTTGTCATATCATTTCAAAATTGTTTTAGCTAATTCTCACTTTCACACTGTCTAACAACTTGGCGGTGGTCGACTGCGTTAGAAGTTCCTTGAATTCATTATTTAATTTCCTATAAAGCCACAGGCGCACTCGCTCGGCATTTCGCAGCTCGTTGAAGAGGAATTGCAGCGTAAGGTTTATAGCCAAGTTCTCATTACCTTGAGACATCGCCTGTCGGGCCATACTGTTATTGGAGTTTGCCCGTTCCTCCTGCATTTGTTCCACCAGTTCTTTAGGTAATTGCGTCTTGCCATGCTGCAGCTGTCTCTGTGGCGGAGCAGCCTGAGGTCCTGATTCCAAATACTTCTTGAACAAATAAAACTGCAACGCCAAGGTACATATTACACCGCAAACAAATGTAAAAATGACCACGAGAACCAGTTGCAAACTGTCCATATTAAATCACAGCTGTTGATGATGCAGTCTCTCTTCTTTGAGTATTAATTAATGCAACATATAATACAATGTGGTCCAGATGTAGATTATTGCATAAGTAATGTTGTATTATGCATATGTGAAGGAAAGTTCCCAATGTTTATGCTGAAGGCGGAGTTGTTAAAGAAACAATTCTTTTCAGATGAGTATTAACAATAAGAGATATTACACATACTATTACTTATTATCACACTACATGCATATGACAAGAGGAAGAGTTCCAAATATGCATATTAGAGCCACAATTGTTGAAAATTCAGTCCCTCTTCCATGAGTGTTGACGAGTTCCAAAAAAAAAACAGGCTGTAGGAAGAATTATGAAGATTAAAATATATATTTAATAATTAAAAGTGGAGGATTTAAACATTGCAGCCATATAATTAATTGTCATATATGTAGAAAAATTTATAATTATTATTAAAATTTTTCAAAAAAATTCATTTTTCATTTTTTATTAACTATAATATTATAAAAAATATTTTTTTAATTGTATCAATTGCAATTAGAATAGAAATTTACTTTCACTACTATCTCAGGAAAAATTCTGTATTACTATTCTAATTGAAAGAAAAAGTTGTACACAATTTGTTTTCATTATTACATTAGCAGTAAGTAAAATATACAAGAGAAAGGGAAGGAGGAAGAAGACTCTAATTATTTTAAGAGAAATTGACCTCTGATTTTTGTATCGTATTGTTACTACCTAAAGTTGCATTAGGAACTTTTGGTACGGCCGAATATCAGCACCTCGCGTCCGACGCATCGCGCTGCACACGGTCCAGACTCCGTGATCTTCACGACTCGACAGGTATTCGGAGCACTTTCACTCGTCGACCGTGAATCAGCTGAACGATGCGCGCGCGCGCGCGCACAGGGAATGAGTTTTCGCGTCACTGCGCCGCATATCCCAGCATATCCAGGAAAACGGTGATGTTCACGGACAGCAATCGCGAGGAGTCACTGTGCAGTGGGACGAATTCAATGTCTCATGCATCCCTATCGATCCTCCGGCAGCCATATTCGCACCCCGAGTTGAATAACTGCACAATCAACAATTCGATAATTTTTTAATGAAATTAAAAATTAATATGTATAAAAATCGGAATGTAAGAGGAGAACGTAATAGAATAGCGTAAAGAAAGTGAAATTGAAACAATGAAACATAAAAAAACATAAATATCTCTTTTACATTTCATTGCCTCAATTTTTGCTTTCAGAAACTTCGTTTACGCTTCTGTTATTTTCTTTTTACATTCATTTTACAACTTTTATTTTCGTTCCAGTAAATTCCAAGTCATTTCCTGAATTTCTTAATTAATGAGATGTCGTTGAACCGTTGCGAACGATTTAAAGTTTCACCGAGCGAGAGAAAGAGAGAGAGAGAGAGAGAGAGAGATTTCTAATTTTTTAAATTAAAATCGAAACTAAATTCGAAAAAAGTGAAGAACTCCCCTCTGCCCCAACGAGATTTTAATTTAAAATTATAGTCGAAGAAAACAACATTGAAGTCGAGATAAAATTAAGTGTATCGAAAATGTTTTGATGCTTCGATTAGTCTATGAAAATTGACAATCTGCATAATTACGGTTATCGTGTAAAAACTTGAAATAAAGGAATGAATTGGTAAAATAAATATATTAAAATTTTCGTGTTTTTTTTTTCGATCGATAAGATTGGTTTTCATTTTAGATACAACCATGATAGAAGGGATAACATGGTGTGTGCAGTTGGGGATATCTCTTCTAAATCTCTGGCCTCTCTGTCTATGGACTGTTCATAAGGAGAAAGCTACCAACTGTGAAACGCTGAACATGGGACATGGGATTCATAATCCGTTTTTATTTTAAAACTGTTTCAAATATAATGTCTTAAGATGTATTTTAAGATGCCAATGCGGCTATCTGATTGATTCGTGACTTCTTAAGACTATATATTATACTTACGGTCTTGAATATAAGATCTACGAATATCGGCATATTAGAGTTATATTTGTATTTTCATTTTTTTTTCTACACTGTAAAGCCTCAGATACATTGCGAAGGAATAGCGATAGTGATAGAAATAACACGATTTCAACTTATCAGAAACTGTATATTCCAATGTATCTGATTTCTGATGGATTGAAATCGTGTTATTTCCATCCCTAGCAAACGAGAATGGATTAAAATTGATTGAAATTTTTTTCTATCTGAATGCGTATTTTAAATAGCGAATTGGTTTGGATTTAATTGGATTCAATTAGATTCAATTGGATGCAATTGTATTGAAAAATGCATTTCCTATTCAAAATTTTGAATTGAACAGTATTCACAATGTATGTGTGCTTTGTGCACAGAAAAAGCTAATATTATTCTTAGATTGAAAAGCATTCATTTTAATATTCGTAAATCAATATTTCTGAAAATCTGAATCCATTTCAATTTATTTCAATTCTCGTTTGCAGGGTCGCTATCACTTTTTTCGCATTATGTCTAGGGCTTAAGTCTTTGCGCACAATAGAAGAAATAAGGAATTAGGAATAAAGGTTATACGATTTTAACCTATCAGAAATCGGATACATTGAAATACACAGTTTTTGAATATAAGTTGAAATCGTTTATTCTTTATTTCTAATTCCTTATTTTTTTCTATTATAGGCAAGGCCTAACACCTTGAGGTCATGGGAGTAAAATTTCGAAACAATTTTTATGAACAACAGTAATATATTCCGGATTTTTATTTTCATCCGCTAATAGTTCAAAAAGCTTTATTTATTTACATCATTACAAAATACATTTTTCCCCTTATTGACTTTCATTTTATTAAAATTATTGGAACAGATATCATTTATGCTTAACTTTAGGCGTTAATAACAATTCACAATTATTTTGAATACTTATTAATTCGTTAAAATTAATTTCATTTCAATTTTACTTTGTTTGAAGGTATTCAGGTAATTATATTTATTTACAATATTTTTAGAAATTCTTATTATTTCGTTATTAATTAAAGTTTGTTTGAAATTTTTTTAAATATGTGGTAGATCGGCTATAATATTTAAATATCGACTCGCATCATATTACTTGTAATAAAGTACATGATAACCGATTTCCTTGATTTTATTTACAATCTGAAAAATTATTTCTTTTAATACTTTACTATTAAATTTATTGCTTGTAAAATGGTACCCCACCATCTGCTTCCAACTATTGCAAACACCACAAGCATAAAAATCGTGTGGCATGCATGCATACATAGCATCACCTGTATCATTAGGACTATGTTATTCGTGATCCAGTTGAAGGTTATAAGATTACTTTGATATAATGAATGTTTCGTCAAATATTAACCCACATTAAATCAGTCTCATTTTTATAATATGGTTTCTTCATTTTTTTGAAATTGTAACATTTGTTCGGATATTCTTGATTGAAATTGAAAATTTTCTAATCTTCGCTGTAATGTTCGTATATTTGGAAGTGGATATCCCTGACGAATAAGTTCTTTATATTCATTATTTCTGCATACAAATTTTAATTGTAAAGCACGTTGAATTATATCATTTGACCACATTCTAACGCAACGTTTTTTTGTAAACAAAGCTTTAATTTGACAATCAGTAAAAACTGACTGTAAAGCTTTTTTATACTTATTGCTAGATTTATTTTCCGAAATGTATATAGTGTTCTTTAAAATTTTCATTTCTTTTCGCATTTTAATTATGTTGCGTCGTAGTTTTCGGTTAACATCTTCTAATTTTTTTACATCGATCTACTCTTTCATTACATTTATCTAAACATAAAGCTGGACATATCATTGATGTATTAATCTCAAATGTATCATCAATCACCTATAAAATGTATTTCAGAATTTTAAATATATTCAAGTATGTTATCTTTTAGTAAATGTTATTATTTCAATCTTACCTGACATTCTTGTTTTTCAATATCACTAATGGATTGTTTCAATTGAATGTTATCGATAGATAACATTTGATTTGATTCAGTAAATTTAGTTGTACATGAAGCTGAATATATTGCTGAGGTATTACATTTAGATACATCATTAATCACCTAAAAAATTTGTTTTACAACCTTAAATGTATCTAAATGTTATCTTTTTGGAAGTTTTATTATTTTATTAACCTGAATTTAATTGAATGTCGAGAGGTAGATATGATTCATTAGAAGCTGTCTTATTATTTGCTTGATTATTTTCTGTTAATACTTGTTTAATATTATTTTCCATTGGTTTTTTTTTTAAATATCCAAATATTGTAGGATATGCATTTGATTTCAATTTTCGTACATCAGTTCTTGATTCCCACATATCTAATGCAAAATGTACTTATGTGTACAATAAAAAAAAAAGATTAATTTATTTAATTATTTTGTTACGAAGAAAATAAATAAAAGAAAGCTAAAGAATTATTGAAATAATTTGGTAAAATCATTTAGGGCTAATTACCTTAATCTTGACACATTGCCAAGATATCATAATCCTGAATATTTAAAAAATTTTAAGCCTTAATAATTTTAATATCTTTGAATTACTAAATTAATATTTGAGACGTGCACATAATTAGTGTACTAATTACATACATATAAGAATGAAAAAAAAGTTTATAATAACTGTATTTTTAATGAAACACATTTTATTAATTTTTTAATAATAAATTTGCACATATCATTTAACCTCGCAAAGAAAGGAATTTGTTGTGGGCATCCAATTTTTTACACCATTTCCCCAACATCTTTCACTAACATTTTTTGCCCACAAAGCACGACGTTCGGCATTTCGAGGAAATGTTTTCATTATGTAGCCTTTAGCTACTGAATTATTACAAAATGGGGCTGCACACCCAACCATTTTTAATACAGTTATATAGTCTACAAAGCAGTACAGAATACATCGTATACATGTATGCACCCGACGACGCGTATAGGTACAATTTCATAGGCTGCGTTCACGAACTCAGTTGAGTGAATGAATACATTGGCTGCATTCAGCAGAACATAAGCGAAAAAAACTTCCAACAGTTGCAAAATAAACATTCTGCTGAACGCAGCCATTGGTTGCGTTCAGTAGAATATAAGGCTGTTTTTTCATGCAGACGCTTCTCAAATAAGAATAAAGGCTTAAACACAATAGGCACAGGCAAAAGGCACAGAGAATAACAAGCTGTCCAATCAGAACTCTGGGATATAATACACTGGGATGGAACTTATCATCAGAGCTCTGATTGGACGACTCGTTATTCCCTGTTGCCTGTTGTGTTTAAGGCCAGGTTCATACCTTGACAGAAAAGCGGAAAAGCGGAAGTCTACAGTAGTAAACAGTACATTCGCTTATTTGCTTCTGTCTTTTAGCGAGTTCTGATTGGCTTCCGCTTTTCTGCTTTCCGTTTTTCCGTTTTCAAGATGTGAACCCGGTCTAAAGTCTTAACAACGGCTACGTTCAGCGGATTCAACAGTTGAGTGAGAGGTCTGTTATTGGTGTATTCTCTTGGATCATCCAATCAGCATTTTAGATCTAGAAGAATATATCAATAGCAGCAAGCGCTCAATTGTTGAGTTCGCTGAACGCAGCCAATGAGGTCTGTTTTCTGAACTAGTGTACACTTTTGAAACTTAAAGTGAGATAGAGATACGTTTGATATTTGTTTAAAGCGAGAAAGAGAATTTTAGAACAGTCTAGTAGTATAGTGCAGGGCTTCTATTCTTGAAAAATATCGCATACGAAAAACTATGGAAATGCTATATAGTATGTAACACATCTTACAGTATATTTCTCTAGTTTTTCGTATGCGATATTTTTCAAGAATAGGGGCTCAGGAACAGAAAACAGACCAGAAGACGTCTTCCTCAAATGATTTCTAATCGATTCCATTTATAAAACACACATTAAATAAAATTGCTGTTCGCTAACTTGACGCATGATAAAATTTGTTAATAAGAAAAATATACGTCGATGTGTCGCATTTTATCGGTGAAATAGCGATCTCATCGGAGTTCAGACTTCATTTTTTTAATCAACTCATCAACACACATGCGACGTCACCGTTGTCGAAGTTGCCAACTTCACGGCGCTCGATTAACAAGAATTCAGGGATCCTCTCGATATAATGATAATAAAATAGTACTAGTAATAGACAATTTCACGACTCGCACGACTGTCAACGGATACTGACGGAGGCTTCGAAAATGCTTTGGCAGACGCGCGCTGATTTCGTTGGCTTATTCGTGTGATTCGGACTGACTCGGACTCGAAGAGTGGAAGAGTCGTGAAATCATGTGGCCGATGCGATCGGAGATGACTCGCGACGAGTGCAGGAAGTGCCTACGATGCCTCGGTAAGGTTATGTGGGCTGAATAATAGCCTCGTTTAACGAGCGAACCTCATCGATGTGCTGCCTTTCGATTGCGTTCCGACTCTCATGCTGTTCATAAAAAATTATATCGTGGACGCAAGGCTGCTCTCCGCTGCGTTCTTCTGCTGCAGCGACGGCGACGTTACGTGAAATCATGATTCTCACGTTGCGCGTTTCTCACTGGACGAAAAACTGAGTCCATCAAAAATTCTAGAGAACCAATGATGCGTTCAGCAACAGCGGACATGGCTTGGCATGGAAGCATAATTTTCGTCTTGTATTTACTTATTAAACACAGCAGTTGATCTTTGTGTCGAATGGAAGTTGACAATTTATTTAATATGAAATACAACATTGGAAGACATAAGCCCAACGTCTGGCATTCTTCTGGCAATGCTGGCAGAGTCTGGACGCTGTGGCTATTATTTTATGTTAATATTAGAAAACGACCTTTGTCTTCTTTAGATAACGCGTGGAATTAGACAGTACATTTAATGGTAAATTATAGCATATATAGTTTTTATTTTAAGCTTATGCCTTGTGTGTATATAAGAAGATAGTCATATATAAGTAAAAAAAAAGTTTTTTGATTATCTACTACACATGGACAATTTATACAAATATTTTATGAATAAAGGTATAGAGATATATTTAATAATATATATGCTTTTAGTATTTTGTGTATTTTATGTTTTAGTTTTTTATTGCTTAGTTTTCATTTTTTAGGATATAATATATGCAATAATATTTCATGATATATAATATCATTAATTTATTCTTATGACACACTTTTTGTGACTTTTTAACATTTCTCGTAAATTTTGAATTTTTTCGCGAAAAGACATTTGTTTGGAGGTAAAAATATCCATTTTCATGTCTCTAATCAGCTATATCTTGAAAGTGCTGTTCATCTGAAGAATGCTGTGTTGATCGGAATAAGTAATTCAAAGGCGGAATATATTGTATGCAAGAAAACTTTTTGGTCCAAGTTAAAAATGATATGCTGACAAGGAGAGATCTCCAGGTATGTATTACGCGAATTTTGGAAAGTTTGATATTAAGATATATAGTTCAATATTCAGATGGAGTTTGTAAAAATAATATGTATAATATTCAAGTGTTGGGCTTAAGGCTAAAAGATTAGAGTTATAAAATTTCAAAGTTCGAAATTATTGCACGTGTTATGGATATTAGAAAATGGCTGAATCTCGACGAAAATGTTTAATCACAATTTCTAACAAGGGAACCAGATATCCTTTCGGATTTTATCAAGCTGAAAATATATTTATACTGTAAATATATAGTATAATGCATGTTAAAAATATTTAATGCAATTCATAAATATTTGTGAGGAAGTCAAAGTAAGTTTTCAATATTTTTGAGCTCACAATAGACGCTATGATTAGATGCTACAGTCCATCCTCGGCCATTTGCTCCGTTACATGTGTGGTCATTCCAAACTTTAAAACTTTGTGACTCCTTTGATTTATTGGTATCTGAATGTTACATATTATTTTTATAAATTAATGTTAAACTTTACATTTTAATGTCAAACTTTCAAAAATCCGTATGATACCTGACTCTTTCCTTGTGAGCACAAAGAACAACATGTAGCGTTGTCGTGCAGCAAAATGACCTTTCGGTTTCTCAGTAAATGAATCAGTTTTCGTCGCTAAATGATTCCTTTTCGATTTCGTCGACCAAGTGATTCAACTGAAAATTATTTTTATTTTGATATTTTTCTTAGTGAAACAATCATTTTGAAAGTGTAACATTTAGTTGTTAATTTTACAGCATTCATACCTTTAAAGTAGAAAACGCGTTTTTTCTCGCCAGAGAAAATATATATAGATTTATTTATTTCTTAATAATATTTTTAATAATTTTTTAAATTTTGTTATCCATTTTGTTATATGGGCTGCGTTCCATTATTCACTATGAGTATTAGAAACCTATAGCATAGGTAATATGAACTATAGATTTCGTACTTGTAGTGGCAGTGAATAATAGAATGATTAGATGAAAAATAAATAAAACAATATTGGATTGAATCCAATATCCAACTATATTTTTCTGGATAGCTTAACAATTTATTTTATCACTACAGCATTTGGTAACAGTTGTTTCATCTGGTTGGTGAAGATTATAAAATAACATACCATTCACATCCTATCAAATGTTCAGAAGGGCCTTTTTGGCATAGTTGTTCAGTTTTGCTTTTATGTTTATTATTAAATTATGATATATAATATTTCATAAATTTTGATAAAGATCTTTAAAACTCTTTAAAGATGCAAAAAAATTGGAAATTTACTTAAAATTAAAATAATTATACCGGAGGGCTAAAAAAAGACTAAAATTTTTGCACACATTTAATATACTATTCTATAAAATATTGTATAAAAAATATTTTTATAATATACAATATTTTTCTTTAATATACAAAAACTATGAATGCGATTACGTAATACAAAATTGTATATTCTGAAATATATCACATAGAATATTACAAAATAATGTTTATTTTTTATCTAATAGTAAAATAGTATTATAATTAATAACAAAATGGATAAAAAGAAATAAATATAATAGTGCATGGGCTGCAAAATTAATATTACTAGTATCACAAACCGATTGTTTCGCTGAGAAAAACATGACAAATATAAATAATTGTATTATTTTAAAAATAAATTCCTATTATTTTATTGATTTTTGCATTCATACATTTTCCTCTTCATTACATAAAGTTGTCTCGTTTTGGATTCGAAAATATCTAGTCATTATGCAAAATAAACGAAATCGTGGGTCGCATCCGATTTCCTTTATCATTATAGGATTAATATAAATTTTAGATTTAGATAAATACATTTTATAAAATTAATAACATTTGAACATGTCATAATTCATTTTTATATGATGTATTAATTTTTATATGATGTTCTGACATATGATCTTTTTATGTTACAGAATTAGATGCTTATGGAAGTATGGTTTCTGTTCTACGTGCTCAAGGTCCTTTCACCAACGAAAAACAGAAATTATTGCAAGAACTTGCTAAAGTATTACATATCTCCAATGAAAGACACCGTGCTGAAATACGAAGAGCTGTGAACGACGAGAAACTTGCAACAATTGCAGAACAGTATGTATTCTATATGACAGTGAACTTGAGAAGTTTACAAGAAAATAAAGAGATATTGTTTAATATATAAAAAAATGTTGCATATAATGAGATTTAATGAAATTATAAAATAAAGTTTCTTATATATCATTGTCAAATACATTGTAAAAGATTGAAAGACTTTTGTTCGTTTAAATAATGTGAATTTATTGTTATCCAGACTTAATGGTCCAAATACTGGTATAGATTGGACTCTTGAAGGTCGTCGATCTATTCCTCTTTTGCCAAGATTGAAGGCACGATCTGCATTTACGACATTAGCAAATAGCCTATCCTTTACCACTGCGATTGCAAACAATAAGGAACCTGATAGATGTAATATTGTTAGACAATCTGAAAATTCAACAGGTTAAATGATAATTATAACAATGGCTTATATATATTTATATTTAAGTTATATTAATTAAGTTGATTATGTGTATATATATATATATATATATATATATTAGTGTTAACAGCTGCTGAAACTGAATCTCATCCTAGCATAGAAATGGGAGAAAGCTTATCTGTTGATTCAAAATTAAATAGTTTAGACATAGAAGATCTCGACAACGGTAAAACCTCACAAGAAGTAAGTAAAAATATAATAAATTTATTTAATTGTAATTTTTTAATTAAACAATTGCATTATATGCCGCGCGCGCGCGTTGTGTGTGTGTGTGTGTGTGTGTGTGTGTGTGTGTATTATTACGATATATATTATATGTTTATTTTATTAATCATGTTCTTTGCATAATTCATAGAATTCAAATTTGATCGGAAATGAGACGATAGATAATAAAGATGTACTTGATAAAGTTACTGAAAAGTCCAAGGAGTCCTCTCGAAAACGCAAATCTCCTTCTCCGTTGCCGATGGCACCACCGAATAAAGTTCTAGTAATATCTGAGCCATCGAACCATATTTTGCGGACTTCTGAAAATAAGCAATCACAAGTTCTACAAGTAACCAAACATCAAAATTTTGCGTTAATTAAGGTTAACGAGACCTCAGGTTGGTTTCTTTTACTTCTTTCTACTTTTATGTAGAGTCGTAGAAAGCAACAATATCACTTCTGTATATATTAGATAGGAAACGAACATAGAATGATATTGATTGTTGATTTGTTCAACGTTTCGCGCGCGAGTTAAATGTTTCTATTTTCATTATCTCAGCGAGAGAGAGAGAGAGAGAGAGAGAGAGAGAGAGAGAAAGATAGAGAGAGAAAGAGAGAAGGAACAAAAATAATACAATCTGCTCAGTAACTAGTTGTTTTAGTTCATTCTTTTTGGTTTTCTTAACTCTATTTCATTCAACAAGATGATGGAGAAGCGTTTAGCTCGCGAGCAAAATTGGATTGGCCTGTTACAAAACTAAAATGATATCAGTACCTGAAAATAAGCTGAGAAATTAATGTAATCGAAAAAAAAACATCTACATGATGTTTAAAAATGATTGCTTTTTCTAAATTATGAATTATGCGATAAAATGGAAAATATGCTTTCTTTTTTGGACAACAATAAAATTTTTTTATAGTGCCGAAGGATTTGCAGATTATTGCCGTGTCGTGATCCATTGTTAAATTGTCAACATTTCGTGAACCTTGCCATTCGCTTCATCAGGGTGAGAAACACCCTGATACTAATACCAATATCAGTATCAGATAATCCGCAAACCCTTTGGTACCTCTGAAGAAAATGTCCATGAAAGCCTCAAAAGTATGATAAATCTTATCAATATATTTTTTGTATGTTAATTTTCAATTATTTTTCGTATTAAATTTAGATTCTGTGGAGAGCACAACAGTATCAGAAAAGCCGAGTGAGTGCACCACAGTTTCATTAAACAAACATGTAGTTGTTACTTCCGTATGCACAAATCACGCCAGCAATCCTAAGATGGCAGTAAACACTGACCAGAATAAAATTAATACCAAAGTAGTGCCAGCAATATCAAGCTGTATATTGAGTATAAATAAAGTGCATTCAAGTAAAGACACACAACTTCAAGATAGCACAAGTATGTACCTGCATCTAATTTACAGTGTGCTTAATTTCATAATATACATTCGATTTCTATGCATTGTAACCATCAAAATTTCTTTTGCTATTGCAGATGGTACACAAAAAACTCAACCTGATAATATTAACTCCATGTTATCTGATAATATTAGTTCAAATCCATCAACTACAAAAAACTCTATGACGCTTTGTGACCCAATAATGCAAAATTATACTAGAATGACAAGTAAGATGATAATTTATAGATATTTATTTGTAGTTGAAGAATGCTTAAAAAATATTGCATGAAACATCTTACAATTATTTTTATAATTGAGGTATGTAAAAAATGTAGATAATCTAAATTCTAAATAAATCTTTAGCTCGACTTACACAATCAATGCCCGTGTATCCTGGAACTACAGTATCGAGCGGACCTGGGCCACCTCAAGTTAAACAAGTTCCCATAACATTAATGTGTACGAAACTGCCATCGGAACAAATTGTAACCTTTGATCAATCCACTGCCAAAACGGTAAATCTAAATGCGAGAGAGAGAGAGAGAGAGAGAGAGAGAGAGAGAGAGAGAATCAGTTCTGTTTAATTTTATATTAAAATTGCTGCAACAGAAAAATAATGTAGAAACACACGTTTTATCAAGAGTATATTATTATAAAATATATGTATATTATTTGTTTTAGGGTATTTTTCCCAAGAAAGTTATAAATATGCCTCATTATAACACTAAATTAAATAAAGCTAACGTAATCGTTATCCAGAAGGCAAAATCCGTAACACTATCACATGCAGGCAAGGTATTCTAATAAGTATCAAGAATACAAAGATAAAACAAAGAACAAAACTAAAAGTTGAATACTTTTCATTATATTAATTGCTTTACTGACCATTTTAGGAAGTGCTAGGGAAAGTAATAATGGAAGGAAAGAATCTGTGCGTTACGAGCCAACATAATGCAAACTCGATCAACGTTCAACCCCATCATATTTCTCTGAATAATGGAGATCAAACGAAGACTATGCTGCCAACTGTAAACTCGCCACAGAATGCGGAATCTGTCAAAACGAATATAAAGGTAATTTATTATATTTTACTGCTATTGTCTTGTTTAGTCCAAGCCGTATATAT